TCATTTTAAAAGCCATGGATATATATATATATATATATATATATATATATATATATTCTGGCAGTAAATTAGATTTTTCTTTTTTTATTCCCTTGTGACGACACACTGTTGAAGTACATGAAGAGAGGAAAGAATGGTTGTTTAAGAGTCTGTGGATCACTACTGAGTCTGCTCATGGCTCACATGCATAAACATATATATTCCAGACAGATGATTGATAGATGGGGGCAGATAAGATAGGCAGATGATACATAGATGATAGATAGATGATAGATCATAAATAGATTATGAACAGATGATACATAGATGATGTGAAGATAGATGGTAGATACTTTGATAGGCGATAGGTGATACTTAGATGATACATAGATAGGTGATAAGTAGATAATGGAAAAAATATTAGATAGATGATACATGGTGACAGATGATACACAGATAACAGATGATCAATGATATATAGATTATAGATAGATGATACATAGATAAGATGGTTGATGATGTATACATTATAGATAGTTGATATGTAGATGGTATATAGATGACAGATATGATAGATGACATAAAGATTTAGATTATAGAGAGGTGATGCAAAGATGATACACAGATGATATGTAGATGATAGAAAATAGATAGATGATAGTAGATAGAAAATCGACAGATGATTGATAGAGAAATAGAAAACAGATAGGTAGATTTGTTTTGGGATTGAACTCAGGGCCTTGTGTATGCTAATAAATATACACTCTATAACTGAGCCACACCCCAGCCTCCAAAATACATGTTCAAAAGCCATTCATACACAAAAAGTCTAACTTTGCATCCATAGTGCACAAGCTTATCTGATTATTGGAATTACATGGAAATAATGCTCTTAGATATTGACACCAGGGTCCCTGTTCCTAAATTCTCTATTAACTGGTCTTCGATGTGACCATGGAAAGAGGAGAATTTTGGCAGGTTCCACAAGGTGACCCTTAAAGTAAAGTCAAGGTGAAAAGCTACTGCACTTGGCTGTGCTGGACCTATACTAGTGGCCCTCAGAGTGTGATGGCTGGACCTATACTAGTGGCCCTCAGAGTGTGATGGCTTGACCTATACTAGTGGCCCTCAGAGTGTGATGGCTGGACCTATACTAGTGGCCCTCAGAGTGTGATGGCTGGACCTATACTAGTGGCCCTCAGAGTGTGATGGCTGGACCAGCATTATTAGTATCAGTCAGAAATATGTTAGCAATGCAAGTTCCTGGGCCTCATGCTAAGTTAGCTCATGATCTCTCCGGCATGAGCCTGGAAATCCAGATTTCACCAAGTCTCCTAGGTGATGAGGTTTGAGAGCTGCTTCCCTGCATCATGACGATGCTGATTTACCAATGACACGTGACTCATCCTCATCTGATGACCCTTTGTGGGACATAACTAAAATCATTTTATTTGGACCCTTAATAGCCATGTGCTGCCCTGTTTTGTTTAAGATGCAAGAGAAACATCATTTGACAAGCTCTTGTCCTTTTAAATATTTTAACGAAAGATGATTCCGGAAGGCTTATATGACAAAGTCCTACCCACCCATCCCTGTAAGAGCACTTCACATTTCCTCAAGCCAGCTGCGCTGGTGACTTTGGTAACCAGTAGATCCATCTCTCCTTTGCTTTTTGTTTTGTTTTGTGTTGGGAACTGGGAATGGAACTTGGGGCCTTGTGCATGCTAAGCACATACTCTACCATTGGACCACACCCCTGGCCCTTCTCTTTCACTTGCAGTTTTCCCACTTAGCTTGCTTCGTCTATGGCTGAGAACACAGCACATAGCTTCAGAGGCTGGGTGTAAGCTCAGTTCTAGAGGACATACTCACCACGCCGGAAGCTCTGGGTTCAGTCTCAGCACTGAAAAGGTAAATCCTAAAAAGTAGATAATTTTCGTGACATCATAACTCTGGCACAATAAAATGGATATTTCCATAGCCTTTAGTGGTTTAAAGTGAAATACACAAACCCAGGTTAGTACAGACTGTGAATGAATTCACTAAATATTGATGACTACATCTTCCTATTTTCTGACTTATGTGGCCAGACTTCATATTTTCTTACACAAATTCTTCAGCCTTTAGATCATTGGTTTTTATACTCATACCTAAGGGGTATAATGCCTAAGGATACATTGATATCTAAAGTCACATGTAGAGCTTGGAGCTCAGTGTAATGAGTTCAGTGTGTTCAGGATTCTGTTTGTATGTTACTCCAAACCGTGAGGAGGTGACTCAACAGGGCAGACCCGCATGCTTTAGCAAGAGCAAGACCTTAGATTCAATCCTTCCAAAACGACCAAGAACAACAATAGCAAAATACATGTAAAGATATTGCACTGGGCAAAGAATAATTTTTCACCCATTTACTGACATTGCAAAACTTAAGGATGAAAATATACTTCAAATCTCTGTTTTATTTTACCAGCTGCTAGCTGATATTACTATAACCCTTAAGGTTACAGAATGTATAAAATTTAAATCATTAGTCATTTTTGTTAAGTTTACACAGCTTTTGCTCTAAAGGTAGGAGATAGTTTGGTGTAAATGGGCAAGTGCTGTCTAGGCTGATCAAAACAGGAGTTTCTGAATGTGAAAATCCCTCCCGTTTGCCAGCAGGTATTTCCAGAGCCCATTGTGTTTCCACAGCGTGCTGGCCAGAGTTTCATCTTTTCTTCATGGAAGTCTTATTCCCTAAGCCTACTGTAGATTGAGGTGAACTTTTCCTGCAAGGGTCTCTTGTCTTGAGAGACTATCACATTTTTAGGGTGGTGTTGAGTACATTTTCTTGAGACAGAGTATGTGTGGGGAAATGTATTCCTGACAGTGGCTTTCACAAAACCTGTTCCTTAGATTTTAACAGATAGTTGTAGACTGAGCGGTAACTGACATAGAACTGTCAGAGCTCTGTGCGTGGTGTTTCTTTAGGTGCTAAGTGCTACCAAAAGCTCAGGAGAACAAGGCACATGGTGATTCTTGGCATGGGTCTGTAGAGTTTGGTTCTCCTCTACACAGGAGAGAGTGAGTATCAAGGATTTTGATCAGGAGACAGGGATATCACTGTCCTGATTAGCACTGTGGACTCGCCCACCTGGCTCAGAGCTGGCAGCTGGGCCAGGCACACTCCGGAAGGCTATCCTGCTAGCCTCATCTTTGGGCTTCACACTGGGTTGCTTACTTAGCCCCAAAAAGTCAGTGAAGCAAATAAAAGGATTAAATTGTGAAAGTATAATATAATAATTAGGACAGTAATTGTAGGGGAGATTGGAATTGCCCTGCCTTTTGTTGGCCAAATGGCAGGAAGAGATTGAACTCCAAAGATGTTGAAAGTATCTCAAACATATCGTACCATCACACGTGCTTACTCCTATGAGAAAGGGGCCTAGGATGGTTCTTGGGTCTCAAGGCGGCATCACAGAAAATTATCTGTCTTTTCCTCCTACCCCTGACCCCTGCAAACTCTCCAGGGAATGAGCAGAGACTGTGTAACTCCCCTGGAGAACCAGGCTTGCCTGCTTATGTCTAACAGCCCTGATGGCCAGGGCATTATGTAAGCATGACTTCCGTCTTACCAGGGCCTGGATCTGGTCTCCTTGACTCCTTAAGGGACACGTACATCCACATGCATATTTGTAGATGTGAGTGCCTTTTGAGAATCTTTTTGTTTTACTACAATAATTTATTTGGGGCATTGATTATTGAATGTTTATTTATGAGTTTAAAAGTTTGGAGAAGGAAGCACATCTTATTTTATGGAATAAAATATTGTCCAATTCTAGGTCAGAAAATAAAGCCAGTTAGGATCTTTACAAAGAGAAAACAAAATGTACAAAAGTTGGATGATATGGTTCTAAAACTTGGAACTAAAAGAATATACATCTAGTCTTCTTTGAGCAAAATAATGAGAATTGTTCTTTCCAAACCCAGATATGATATTTCACTTGTGAAAGGCAATTAATCATGGATTTCACTGAAGGCCAGCTACAAAGGTATATTCTGTTTATTAGTGATCTCTAAATTATTATTGAGGAGCTACTGGATAAGGTCAGAAGTAGAAACAATTCAAAGTTTTATTTTTAGGGATCTTTGGTTGGTTTTATATGGTGCTAGAAATCAGACCCAGGGCTTACATGCTAAATGTGCATCCTGCTACTGGTCTACACCCACAGCAGCCATTAAGGTCCTTCACATACCTC